CTCAGTGCTTGAAGTGTCTGCTTGTAGAGTTGCAATTGTCCTCTTCCTATTCCTTCTAACAGGTTCTAGCCTGGCACATGGAAACTGGGGCCTTCTAGATCAGGTAGCCGCTCTGAAATGGGTGCAGAAGAACATTGCTAGCTTTGGAGGAGATCCAAGTCAGATTTCAATCGCAGCTGATCGTGGTGGGGCAGACATTATCAGCATCCACCTGCTTGCAGGTGCAGCAGATTCAAATCTCTTCAAGAGGGCCTTGCTTATGGTGAGTCCTATTCTTCTGAATCTTAGTAGTGGATACCTATGGAGAAAAACTGTGAATGAATGTGAACAGAAGTAGAGTGTGTGCTTGCTGGTTTTATTTTATAAAAGCACTCGCGTCACAAAAATATATTCTTCTATAATGGCACCTAGCGGCCTCAGCTGAGATTGGGGTCCCCTTGTGCTAGGCATTTTACAAACACGAGGTAAGAGCCATTTAAGTGACTGATATAATCAAACTGACATTCTGATTCCTGTTACTGTGGTTTTTCATGGGTATATATGTAGAACCAGTTCATAATTTACAGAGTTTCCATTCTGCATATATCATTGCTATTCAGCACTTTTTAGACTACAGAGCTAGTTTGCCAAACATCCGGCCTCTTTGAAGGATCTCTGCTCCTCGAGGTATGTTGCCAGTCCCATGACAGATTCACATTTTAATTTTCTTTTTTTTTAAAGTAATCTTCATTTTTTTTAAAGTAATCAGTCTTGGTGGCTGACAATAACTTTGACAGAGATTGCATATTGCAGTTTTATACAGCAAAAGAAGTGTCCCCGTTCATCTTAACATAGACTTAACTCTTTAAAACTATCATTGGTGATTTAAAGGTGCAATTGATTTGCATGTACAGTTTCTGCAATATTTCCATGAAAAAATGGATAATTGAATTTGCAAATGGCTGCAAGAAAAAGGGCAGAAATAGCACTGGTCCTAAAACTGCACTGATACTTTTTCATTCATTTAGTGAGTTCAGCAGTGACTTGATTCCTACTTCTCCAAGTTCCCTCATATTGAGGAAAGTTACTTCTTTTAGTTCTGAAGTTCAACATCAATATTGTGTTCTCTCACTTTTTGGGGGGGAAATTTTGGCCAGAAAACGTGGTCCAGAAATGAGGACCCAAGAGACTAAATTTCTACAAAGAGTTATTTCTGTGAAATGAATAAATCCCTTTAAGCATTTTAGCTTTCCCATATGGATCATTTTTGTCAGCCTTGTTATGGTCTTTATCACACATTGTATCCCACATTTTGATGTTGGCATATGAAGAGTGATGATATGATCAAAGCCTTGTATGTACTGAAAATTGCACCTGAGAAAGCACAGGGAACATGTCCGCTCTGTAATAGTTTTAACAAAGTCATTTAAAACTGATTTAGTTAAACCAGTGCAAAACATTTTGAGGACTCCATTTTATTTGTTCCATTTAGTTTAACAAGGTAATGATTGAATTAAGACATGGCTATGACCAAAGGATTAATAAAATTAAGAATCTCTATGAAGCCTTTTATCTTTATCTTGGACCTATTTTTATTGGACAATCTTATCCCTCTCACCAACAGAAGTTGTTCTGTTAAAGATATTACTTCACACATCTTGTCTTTCTAATATCCTGGGAACAACATGACTACAACTATACTACATACAATAACTAAGTCCATATTTACACTACAGTTTTGAGCTGGAGGACTTCTTACTCTAACTCCTGTAACCCTCATTTTACAAGGAGTAAGGGAAGTCGGAGGAAGAGTGCTCTAACTCAGACTTCCTATTGTGTAGACAGCACCAGAAGCCGAAATAAACAATTTCAACTTAAGCTACACAATTGACGTAGCTCAAGTTATGTACCTTATTTCAGCTTTATCCCTCCTGTGTAGATGTGTCCTAAATCAGCGAATAGCCATCTTTAGTTAAACAAAAGGAACTTGATAGAGACAGTTCACTGTTCCTTCAGTGCAGATGAGCCATATGCACTGAAGTCACTTTGGAACTGAGACTTACGCTACACAGTAACTTAGCTACTTTTGAAAGTTTTACATAAGGTCTAACTAAAATGGTAAGGCCAGGTCTACGCTAGACCTGGAAGGTCATGTTAAGGTATGCAACTCTACCTATGTAAAATGCATAGTTGGAGTTGGCTTACCTTAAGCTGAGCTTGACACCATCTTCACAGTCGAGGGCCGAGGGGAGCAAACATTCCTGTTGGCTTCCCTTACTCCTTGCACCTGGGGAGGTGTACCAGAGCTGCCCTCAGTGTTCAGTTTAGTGGGCCTTAACTACACCCTCTACATCAAATGCCAGAAGATTAATCTTCAGTGTGGAAGTGGAGTTGTGGTCTAACTTATCCTCTGTCTTTATGCAAAACCCTGACTGTTATCTGGTGAGAGCTCTGCTGTGGATGGAAGGTGGAATGTGATCCTAACTTCATTGTACCACCTAAATTAAAAACTTAATTTGTCCCTCTCATTAGAATGAGTTTGACAGCTCGCTACTCTACTGTAAATAATTTTCTGCAATATTCATACACAGAGAGATGTATGCTAGTAACCTGAGGCTACGTCTACATTGGCCCCTTTTCCGGAAGGGGCATGCTAATTTTTCAGATCGTAATAGGGAAATCCGCGGGGGATTTAAATATCCCCCACGGCATTTAAATAAAAATGTCCGCCGCTTTTTTCCGGCTTTTAGAAAAGCCGGAAAAGAGCGTCTACACTGGCCCCGATCCGGCCCGATCCTCCGGAAAAAAGCCCTTTTCCGGAGGATCTCTTATTCCTACTTCAAAGTAGGAAGCCACTTCAAAGTAGGAATAAGAGATCCTCTGGAAAAGGGCTTTTTTCCGGAGGATCGGGCCGGATCGGGGCCAGTGTAGACGCTCTTTTCCGGCTTTTCTAAAAGCCGGAAAAAAGCGGCGGACATTTTTATTTAAATGCCGTGGGGGATATTTAAATCCCCCGCGGATTTCCCTATTACGATCTGAAAAATTAGCATGCCCCTTCCGGAAAAGGGGCCAATGTAGACGAGCCCTGAGTGTGTTGTAGTATTACCTTCATGCTAATGATCAATCTACCATAGACAACAAACTTAACACCAAGCTAAATAGCAAATACATTTTGTTTTAATGAGGAATAAATACAAAGACGTGATTTAGAAAATGGTAATGCTTCTCATAATTATTTCACTGGTTAAGAGCCAGTCCCTTTAGTAACATTAACAATGAACAGTAGCAATATATTAGCGTGTATAAACATCTAGAGTTCCTGAGCTCATTTTGTGTTGTGGTAGTCCTGTTTGTAAGTAAATTACATTCATGTTCTAATGTTCCCAAATGTTTTTAATGAAACTATGGACTGTTTTACACAAATCATTGTGAACTTTTATCACAAAAGTAGATGATCTATTATAAGATCTAAAAGTACAGACATACACAGATTGTGTTAAGAGGCAAGTACAGAAGATCTTAATAAAGGACCCAATTCTCCAGTGCTCCCTACTTTGGTTAGTCATTTAGACAAGTGTAGAGTGACTATATTAAAGTCAACATTCTCAAGTCATATACATGGATGGTGCAGTTTTATTCTTACATGTGTAAATGATTATTTGAAGCTGGAGGCACTAGAGAATCAGGGTTCACAGGGTCAAATTGTGATCTCATTTACAGACCTAAAAAATACACACAAATGGATCAGAAGACAATGTAGTACACGATGGTTCAGTCTGTTGCTCACTTGATGGCTTTAGGTAATAGTTGATTGCATCTGTCCCCAAACTGTGATTGTGACCCCAAATGGGGTTGTACCATCATTCAATTAGGTGGTGGCAATCCCTACCATTTGGAAGACTCCATTTTAATCCACATATCAGAACCTCACATGTATTGTGTGTGTGAGGTCACAATGCATGGAGAATAATTTTGCTCAACAAAGTGTCATCCTCCATACAGAGTGACGTCGCAAGCTCCATACATTTGAGGTCACTGTATGAAGGATGCAGTTTTATAGGACAAAATGGTATCTTCTCTGTGGTATGACCTCACATGTGAGGAGTGCACGGTCATACAGTTTGCTCTTGAAAATGTACGCCTTCCATGATCTTTGGGGTCCTCGGAGGAAATACTTTGTGACAATGGAATCATGCAGGTAAAAAGTTTGAGAGCCCCTCCTCTGATTGCTATTTTATGTATCTTTTCAGAAAGTTGTTCAGAAAAAAAATCTATTGTACCTGTGGCTGCTGAACTGTTACATAGTTTAGATAAAAAAGCTATTAATATAAATATTTTACATAAATATATGCAGCCTTCAAGAAATTAAGTTGAAATCTGAGCACTTGCACAGATTTCAGATATACTGCAACTCACTATGGCTGTAGGATCTAATTTGAGCATATTTTAAATTTCACTTGGACACCTTTGCTTCCTGGTGAATATTACTAGATTGGGCCTGAGCAGCTGAATTATACTCTATTATACCCATGTACCCACCTTGAAGTCATTTAGCTCATGCAAAAGAACCAACTCCAAGATTATTCTGTCTTTTGATTTCAATTGCCATTGCCAACAGCTAGGTTAAACCACTGCGAAGAGAACAGGTTGGTTTTGTGTTTTCCCCCAAGAAGGTGAAATTCAGTCTAGATTCAGTGTCACCAAAGCAGTTCTTGGAAGTTAGAGACCAGCTGGGTTTTAATTGTCTTTGAGGTGTCAAGCAGTTCCCCATATCTCTGCAGCGGAGATAGAAATAACTTGCCTCTGGAAGAGAATAGTCTTATTGCTGAGAATCTTCTATTGATGCAGAAAAAGGAATGCAAACCCGTCCTTTTGTAATATCACTGTGTGGATGGTGTCAATATAGTATGAAGACTCAAGTGAGTCTTAAGTGGTACCTAAACCTTATTCCAGCAGTGATTTCACCTTTTATTGAGTACTCGTTTGGTTCACTTTGTCATTTGTTAGAGTTCGTCTCTCAACTTAAATTATAACCTGTGCCTGAGCAAATTAAAGGTGCAGTGTGTTATTTACGTATATGGTGGCTGAGCTGGTATTTTTAAAAAGTTTCTGGTTAACATTCAAAATACAGAAAAAGACAAAACCAGCATTAATTTAGCCTTCGTTTCCTTCAATCTCCTCTTTGATCACTAGCTAGTATGCTTGTGTCTTTCAGCTGTGGTAAAACTGCCTGATGATTACGATTCGCTCTGACATCGCGGTTCTTTTTCTGTAGACTGCATCTGTCTCAAGTTCAGTCTTCATAATATGGAGCTGGCAAATGGAGTGTACTTTTGCGTTTGCTTCCAGTGTATATGAGAGACTGGCTTTTTTTCTTTCTGCTGCTCAGAAAAGACGAGTTGTCTTCCCCTGCTAGGGAGATGTAAGAGGCAATACTTTCCCTGAGGCCGTAGCTGAGACAGGAATCCTCCATGGCCAGCGTGTCTTCAGGATCTTCATTACTTATCTGCAACCTTTAAAAAAAAAAAGTTGCTTAATGTTTCAGATAGGTACACTGGACGTGACTAGTTTGTTAGCGCTAAATTGTTGCATAAAAGAAACAACTGCTGACTCATAACTGATTGCGATTAGTTCTGCACGTCTCATCTGTTTCCTTAAATTTCCATCACTACAATAATATCTGAGCAACTTTGATGTACTTAAAACCCAGGGAGGGGGAAAGGGGGGAGAGGATGAGCATCTATCTTTCTTCCCAGCTTAGGAAGAAGATACAGTAGTGTCCGGATTTTGTCTGTGTGCAAGTGAAGGAGATTGTTTTGAGGAGAGGAGGGGGCTGTATAGCTTACTGAGAGAAGGCTACATTGCAGAAACGAGCTGAGCATGTATTTCTGAAATTGTGCGGTCATTGTTGTTTCTGGTAGGAGGAGCTTCCTCTCTCCAAGCCCAGATCCATGCTCTTATGAGCCCCCTCCCACACTGGTTGATGGCATCAAAGGGCAGGGGGAAGGTAACTGTCTTGGTAGGATCTAGTTGTGGAGGAAAAAGTGATCTCTCAGAAAGTTAGATCTGACTACAAGCAGCTCCGTTGCAGAAAAAAGATCTCTGCAGAGCATGTCTCTACACATAAAGTCTCATTTTCTTTCTGATCACCCCTACCAGAACCTCTGATGCGATGCCAAACTATCATCTTTCTCCAGTTCCACTCATGCTACCACAAATTACCCATCAATCCATTGACATGTATTGGGGACAGTATTTATATTCCACAGAAAACTACAGGGGAGAGGCTATTCTAGATTTGATTTTGACAAACAGGGAAGAACTGATTGAGAATTTGTAAGTGGAAGGTAGCTTGGATGAAAGTGATCATGAAATCATAGGCTACGTCTAGATTGCATCCCTTTTTCGTAAAAGGGATGCAAATTAGACGTATCGCAATTGCTAATGAAGCGGGGATTTAAATCTCCCCCGCTTCATTAGCATAAAAATGGCTGCTGCTTTTTTTTCGGCATGGGGCTTTGCCAGAAAAAAGCGCCAGTCTAGACACGGATCTTTTGGAAAATAAAGCCTTTCCCGAAAGATCCCTTATCCCTTATTTTACGAAAAAGGGATGCAATCTAGACGTAGCCATAGAGTTTATGATTCTAAGGAATGGTAGAAGGGAGAACAGCACAATAAAGACAATAGATTTCAAGAAGGCAGACTTTTGCAGATGTATGGAGTTGGTAGATAAGATCCCATTGGAAGCAATCTAAGAAGAAAGACAACTGAAGAGAGTTGGCAGTTTTTCAAAGAGATATTATTACAGGTCCAAGAGCAATCAGTTCCACTGCTTAGGAAAGATAAGCAGTATGGCAAGAGATCACCATATCTTAACTAAGAGAACATGAATGATCTAAAAATAGTCCTACAAAAAGTGGAAACTAGGTCAAATTGCAAAGGATTAGTATAAACATATAACACAAGTATGTAGGGGCAAAATTAGAAAGGCCAAGGTACAAAACAAGATTAAACTAGAGAAAGAAAGGGTAACAAGAAAATATTCTACAAATACCTTAGAATCAAGAGGAAGACTAAGAACAGAGAAGGCCCATTACCCAATGAGGGGGAAACTGATACCAGAAAATGTGGACATAACAAAGGTGCTTAATGACTTCTTTATTTCAGTTTTCACCAAGGTTTGTGCTTGGTCCTGCCATGAGGGCAGGGGACTGGCCTTGACCTCACAAGGTTCTTTCCAGTCCTATGACTCTATGAAGTCCCATGGAGGGCTTCGAATATCATGACAAAGACTTTCAATTGGGCTGCTGACCTTTTTTGCTGCAATGTGGGCAAACTGAAGTTTGTTCAATGTACATGGATTCAATCTTAGTTATAGTAGGCTAGATTCTCAACGGGTGTAAACTGCGTTATGTCACTATTGGGAGAGAGTATTCTTGGCAGAGTTCATTGTCAACAATGTTACCCAGAGCAGCACTATATCTGCCAGTAAGAACCTGTGGAGGTAGTTAAATGCACCAAAATTTGCATCACTGAACACTTAGATTGGGATGTTACAATGCTCTTGGTGGTTAAAGGACATTTCAGCCTTAAGCCTTAATATTGACTTCAGCAGAAGAGAATAGTGGCTACTTGCTATTTTCTGTATTTGAAAGTATATATTTAACATGCTGTAAATAACCATGTAGACACTGATGCTGCATGGAAGACGTAGTACCTGTGAATGTTTTTCCAGTTGAAGTTTTTGTTCCTCATCACCACGGGTGGTTCTTGGTTCCTCACTGCATTGTTATCAATGCACTGAGTGAGACAGGGTGTTGTAAGTACACAGCACAGCCCATCAGATACCTCTGAATGAAGAAACGAATACAGGATAAGTTCTGCAACATTGTGCGATAGCTTCCCCTTTTCTAGTGCCAGTGGTTTCTCCACTAAGATAGTCATTGAGACCCTGTTGAATTATTGAGTGCATTATGGCTTATAGGTGTTTTTGTTAGGATCCCCCTTTTGTAGGAGGGAAACTGAGGTGTGGAGAGACTGACTGACTTGAGGTCACACAGAAAGATAGTGGTAGAGCAGGGATTTTAACCTTAGTCTGCCTGGTCCTGCGCCAGTGTGGTAACGACAGGGCACAAATGGGTGTAAAATGCCACTGTTCCGATTGGGTAGTGCTTCCCTGTACTCTGCTCTCACTCTGCATTGCTGTACAGGACTATACAAGAGACAAAACAGCAGGCAATCAGGTCTATCCTGTGTAATGTAGCCAATCAGTGCACGTTCACCATTGTGAATCCTTGTAAAGTATTTCGGTGCACGAAGTAGAACTGTCCCTTGACTACTCTAACCTGTGCAAATGAACAGCACCATATAACTAGTAAATGCTGTGGTTGGGTTTTTTTTTTTTTCATCCACTGATTTCATTATGAATTGTGCATATTCTCAGAGAGGGGAAAGTCAGAGACAAAATGTTGATCAATTCACCCAGATGTTGTGGGTAATAGTTTCAGATTCTCATGTCCTTCCTTCACATAAATGCTTTTTTTAAGAGAAAAATCAACTAACTAAAGTATTTCAGAAAATAAATTAGTGTCCTGTCCAGTTTCTTACTGCACTTCTTTCCATGAACTGGTCTAAAAACCCCTCCTTTTATCACATTACTGTATCAACACACAAGTCTCTAAACACTATATTCTCCTTCGTTACTTAAAATGAGGCTTTTTGGCCTACATCCAGTATTTCAATTTGCCCAGCATTATGCAAATATTGTGGCTTCACACCTTTTAAATGATTTCATTGCTATTAATTGAAATACTAGAATCATTTATTCTTCACAAGTACAGTGTGATTAGTTTATCCCAATCCTCCTTCCTCTTTCATTTTAAATCTTTCTGGTTTTCATATGATGTCATTGTAGTACTTTGTTAACTGTGGTATTTGATATAAGGCTAATTTCTGATCTGAGTTGCACGGATATAAATCTAGAGTAACTCAGTTGAAACTAATGTAGTTTTTCTGGAATGACATCAGTCTAACTGAGATCAGATTTGAATTCCTAATGATTATGCCAACTTTGAGCTCTTAGGTCATATTTGCTATGAGTTATACTAATATAAATCCAGAACTATAAACAGCTAAAGCAATAAAAGAGTAACTGACTAATTTTCCCAGCATGCCCTGATACAAACAAGGTTGTGTAGTGTGGTAGGTGTGAACAAGCTAATGCAGTGGACACGTCATTCCAGGGTGGGGGGGAGGGAATGCTGTTGTGAACAATGTTAGCTGTAACCACATCCAATTCTGGTTTCATTTAACATGGCTTTGTCTTCCCATATTGCCTGTACTCAGCTGAGCTGTTGTCTGTCTGTTGGATTAATAGTGGAGGAAAGAGAGACACACGAACTGAGGAGAAAACGAAGTAAATAAATAAACTGGGCAGAAGCCAAATTTATCTCTTATGATTTTGCTGTACAGTAGCCCCTAAGATCCCTAATCATGTCTCAGTCGGGACGCATTGTGCCAGACACTGCACAATATCTTACAATTGCTTGTGACACTTACTGCGTTCCTGCAGTTACACAGCATCTCAAGGGACTTACCTGAATAGTGATTCACAAGGTCCTCAAGGCACTGAAAGGTTTGCCGTGGAGAGATGTAATACCAGTTATTCGGCAAGCGGAAAATCCTGTAATGTTTCACTTGCCTGTGCCGGACTGACAATGAATATAATCCTGGAGAAACAGGAGAATTAAATGATTTCAAGTGGTTGCAATCCTAGGAAAACAAGTGCATTTCCCAGACTTTTGTGGCTGCTGACTACAGTCAGACCAGCTTTGAAATGTGGTGCCATGCTAACAGGTGTGTCTGCAGAGAACCTGAAAAAGCTAAATGATCTTCCTTATGTAGAGATCTCAAATATAGATAGATGGAGAAGAGGGTCTGTGGTAATAGGCTCACCATCAGGGATTTAGACTATCTAAAACACCAACAACTTTTCCTTTATGCTTCATGAAGCAAGCATAATCTTCATGCTAAGAACTTAGATACCTAAGGAACTTTTGAAAGTCCCCACCTGTTTTTATTTAATTTCTACCCCATGCTCTCATCCATAGAGCTCTCGGTTTTTTTCTTATTTAATTCTTCACCCTGCATTTTTCTGGAAGCCCAATATTGGAACTATGTGGGCAGGAGGACTGTTATGGACCAGTGTTCCTTCTTTTTCATCCATCTGTGGAATGTTTCCATCGATGCGCAGAATACATTTTGTTATGTGCACTGAGGCATGTGTGAATATGCATCACCAGGAGAAACAAACCTAGCAAATCAGATGGGCAGCATTTGACTCTCTCCTGAGCAATTGCACAAGCACACAGCTTACAGGGAATGCTGCTGAGGATGCTCCTTTTGAAACTTATTCATGCCATTCATGAATAGGCCAGAGGGGGTGTACTCTGTTCCTGTTCTTATGCTGTGCCCATCACCCTGAACTTTGAAAAATTAAAAATGTGCGAGGTATCTCAGTTAAGTGCTCACCCTCCTTTCCTCTGGGGTGGGGAGTTGTGTGAAAGTTGCATGTGTTTGTAAAATGAATGCACTTTAGGCTGCTGTCCAACTTATCAGTGAGGAGGGAGGGGACTAAATGTTAGGAAGAGTACGCTCATTATACCTGAAGTTGAGAAATGTTCTGAGGGGAAGAAAAGGGATTTAAATTCAGGCTGGATAAAAATTTCCGAAGAGAGCTTTGTTGTGTCAGAAACCTAATTTACTGTCAAAAGTTATCACAAAGACTGCTTTCTGAGGAAAACCATGTTCTGTCAAACACACACACACACACACACACACACATGCAAATTGAAAAATTGTGCTCCCTAGCCAGACTACAATTCCCATAAAATACTGTAGTTGGGGACACCACAGTTGTCCATCATGAGAGGTTTAGGTTAGCCAGGGGATCAAGACCGTGGAGGAGAGTGAGGGGATGAGATACCCACATTACAGCTTCCATGAGGCACCTCCCAATTCAATGTTTAAGTTTTGGCTGAAATGTTTTAGGGTTTGTACTTCTGATTAAAAAGTTAACATTTTCCTGGGAGGAGGAACCCATTTTCTGACCAGCGAGTCTGGTGGTGGAAGGATGGTCAGAAGAAAATTTCAAGCGTGTAAAGCAAAACAACCAAACAACTAAATAAAAATGTGTTTAGTCACTTTCTATGTATTTTACATTCCTTTCCAACCCCACTCACCACCTTGGTGTGTCTTTGTGGATGGAGGAAAGGGTGGGACCCTTCCACCCATCCTTTGTGTCTTCCTCTCTGTTTGAAATGCCTCATGATCTTTGGGCATTTGGGGTCCTGCCACCTGGATAAACAATGTTTAAATAATGTTTTATATGTGCCTGTGATTAGGGAACTCCCCAAAGCCGATGTTTGCCCTGTTTCCAGCACTGCTTGTTATGTGGGAGATTGCTGAAGATGCTGCCATGAGTGATTTTTTTTTTAATTATATGTAGTTTAGGATTCTGGACTGATGTGTGAAATGAAAAAGATGGCGAATTAAGAGCTATGGAAGGTCCCGTTGAAAGGATATGCCTCAGTCTGAGATCTGGGGGAGAAGGAGGCTTGGGGGAAAGAGAGGAGATATTATGTTTTCTCACCTTTCCTGGTTTCACTCTCTCTGATCATGAAGGAGCCAACTTTGTTGTCAGGAAGCTGTAGAAGTTCTTCTGCTTTTTCTCTTCCCAGACCTTCAAATAACCAACTGCAATAGGAAGAGAAGTTCTAAAACATCTTGGATGAGCTAGAGAGCAACATGTGTCCCTGAGGGTGCAGGGCTAGCCAGAAAAGTGACTGCAAAAATGACACTGTAACCTTCTAGCAGTTACTTTCTTAATTATTCCTATGTATATTTCCTCAGATTATGGGGTAAATCTTGCTCTTGTCACTCATGCCAGTAATTTTATTAAGGGTGTCCCTATAAGAAAGGGAAAAACCCTTCAAACTTGATTAATTTATGACACTGGCAATTACTATTGTAAATAACTAAACCTTTTCTTGTTGTGAGTCACAATCCAGAACTAAATTTAGCATGGATGAAGGTGCAATTATTCTGTGTATGCCAATCCATACAAACTCTGCTTTCAGTTTATTCTGGTTTTACACCAGTCTAATTCAGTGGGCTTTACTGGTGGGGGAATAGAACCAGGTGTCCTGATTTTCTCTGCCACTTTGTGTCTGGTATCTATTACAATTAGCAGGAAGCTCAAGCACATGCAATAGAATTTAAGGACATTCCTAAAGTTAACTAGAGAAATGCTTTGCTGAATAGTGATGGATTTGAGCATATATTGTACTGGATTTCCTCAGCAGGGGCTATGGGCAGTAGCCAAACTCTGAACCTTCAGTATCTGTTCTAATGTGCAAGGTGTCTGTCCTTGAATGATCTCATTAACCTTCTGATGTTCTTCTTTCATTCTAGTTGGCCCATTTTTCATAGGAACTCTGATTTTGTCTCTGAGTTTTATTCACCATGGGAAGAATTAACCCTTGTGCAGATAAAGACCAGCTTTTAGGGACCTGCTCAAGTAAATCGAGATGTCTTACTTGATACTTAAGTAGTGCCAAGCACTAGCAGTGCATAGCAGTGAATTTCACCCTAGTTCTTGTAAGTTGTATCTTTTTATCAGTGTCTTAAAACTAAATATGGAGCTAAACCACACAGCGCGGATCCAGAAGTAGATCAGAAGTTTGTTTCTGGGTGTTTGGAGCTGAGGATTTGCTTTGGTGAAAGAGTAGCTAAATTTAGATCTGGACTGAAACATCCCTATAGTTCAATGGAAATCAGATATTTAAATCAGACAATCTCTGCCTCACATAAATTTATCAGGCAGCTTGGTGGTGGTGATGGTGTTAGTGGTTTTTACTATATTATTTGGATTATGATAGTATAGGTACATAGGGTCCCTAATTAAGGATGAAAACTACTTGCTGCAAACTATAGTGCATGTGAAACAGCCCCTGTCATTTCAGAATGCTGTGGCAAAAACACATACTCACCCATGGTAAACTTTTGCTACGCATTTTCCTGGGATGTAGTTCTCTCGACCTGTAGTGAGGGAATGGACTCTCCACCAACCTCCTTCACTGTCAAAGCAAGGAGATGGGTATGGTCAACTGTGTTTGAGAAACTTGCCTTCATTTTAGAAACACGTTAAAGTGGAAAATGGGCTAACATGCAATATTTGCTAACTAATCTGAGTATTCAGAAAACCGCATGTAAATCTAAGTTTCTATTGTTTCCCTTATTTTATCTTCTAAATCTCACTTTTTGCTACATTGTTGTTTAAATTAGCCACAGGAATAAGCTAAATATTAATCGGGAAATTTTTTTTCCATTTGCTGCGTAAGTAGTGAAACTGATTTCTGTAGTCAAAAATAAGTTTCCCATAATGAACATTTTTAATACAGCCAGTATCCAGAATACATTTAAAAAAAATCAATCTCACCACCCAAATATATATAACCCTGCCCAGAAAAAGGCCTCTCCTGAGTATCGACTTCTATTTCAAACCTAGTTGTTTGAATAAAAGGCTTAGACAAATAACATAGGAGCAATGTGCATAGCAGAAAAGAGTTGATTTTGCCGTAGCAATTCTGTCACTAGCCAGCCTAGCATCTCTCCTTTTCATTCTCGGAGGCCTATATTTCTTGAATGACCTGAGAGTTTATACCTCCTGTTAGGGTATGCGTACACATAGCTGCCAATAATATCCACACATACTCCAGCGGGGAGGATAAACCCTGTGTTTAGAAGAGCTGTGCCTATTTGCATAGAACATTGCAAGGTTTTATTCTGCACAATAGTTGAATCAAGACAGGAAGAGAAAGCTCCATGTAATGCTTCCTTCAGCACTTGTTGATCACTACACAACAGACAAACATGCAAACAAAAATATGCCACATATATTAGGGATGTAAAAAATAGTAACCATGTAACTGATTAAAATTAAATCAGTTACACGATTAAACCCAACAGGAGGGCTCTTAGCCACACAGGCTGCCAGCCCTGGAAGCTCCCCATTTTGCAGGCTGCCAGCAGTGCCTTTAACTGAAACCGATAAGCATCATTAACCAGTTAAACTTTTACATCCCTAACATATAGCTAGTTTGTAAACAAAGTTCCATATTTAAAATGAGACTTTACTATATATAAAGCATATGTATAATATTTATTTTATTTATATGGACATGATCCATACGTGATCTAAACCATCATAGCTGTTTTGGACTAGAATTTCCAACCTGCTAAGACTATTTAGCACCATTTTACCCAAAGGCAGAGAATTGCCTTTGCACAGGGAAACATTCTAGCATCAGAATGCTGGTGGAAGCTCATCCAGTCTCGCCCTTGATATGCTCTTCTCTTTCTGAGACATGCAGGGCACTGCATGGTCCAGAGGGGGAATGGATGAAAGAACACCAGTACCCCGATCCTTCACTGTCATAAGGTCCTTTGAACCACTCATGAAAATTAGAGGAGGCTGGTTACTTCTCTAATTTTTGTCAGAACCAGATGGACAAGTGTCAAGGAACCACAGACAACTTCCTCTAGCTGCGACACTCGGCTACTTCCGTAACAGGGGCATAGTGGATCATCAAGGCAAATGGCTTCAGTTTACCCTAGCTGAGGATCTGGCTCTGTATGTTTTTGTGCGGGGGGACTGTCTGTATGTTTGTAATATACTAGAGAAGGATCAGAATGAGACTTCCAAGTCCTCATTACTCTGAGAAAGTGATGAATAGGTTCTGGATCCAAATCTGAAATTCATGGTTTTGGGTAATCTCTGTTTGAGGCTCCAAACAGGAGTCTAAAATCCAAGACTTAACCTAGGGGAAAATTTTTGATAAGGATAAAGTATTTGTCCCTTCCCAATTCTGCAGCTGTTTTGGCATTCAAATGCCTAATCAAAGAGGAATCAGTCTCACACAAGTCATCCCATGTTGTGGCAGGGTGAGACTGTGTTGCCGAACTGGGCCCTGTATGTTGACTTGGCACCTGCCTTAGCACTCAATTCCATCAGGTGATGAGTGGCCTGAGTTACCTGTGGGAATTAAGCACATGTAGAAGCAAGCCCCCTATGTGAATGCCTGAAAGGAGGCACTCAATCTGGAACTGCTCATGGGGAACAAGCAGCTTCCCCAGCAGCAACAGCCCTCGGTCTTTCTCCTGTTCAGTAGGAAGAAAACCCACAGCATCCATCTAGCATCCGATGCAGAAACCAAAAGCTGTTCCTTATCTCCCATCAGCGGTGTCAGGGGCTAATTTTAAAAGGAACAACTTACTCCGACAGCACACGTAGTTTCTCTCCTATTTGAAATATTGGCTGGCTTATATCCGGGGAGGGGTAATCACAGAGGACAGCAAGGATATCACTCTCCTGAGCTAGGGGAAAGAAGAAAACGTCATTTTTAAAAGGATGATAAAATTCATTGGTAGGGTGGATGTCTTCAGAAAGTCGCCCCCAAAACCTACTGTTCACCAGTGTAAATAAGAACTGAATCAGCACCTGTATGTTTTTAGCTCTTTAAGTTATTTACTTCTAGTTAGCCAAAAGCTTCTGCAGACTGACTTCCTTATGTGTGTTCAGAAAAGACTCAGTCTAAAAGTAGCAAAATGAATAAATATGCATCATGTTAAGAAATGGCCTCATTTGAATAATACCGCCATGCATGAATGGCATAAATTACAATTTGAGTAATGCTTATAATTAGGTCATTATGTTAGGGAAAAAAAGGCAAGTTTCATTTCAAAGGTACAAAAATAGATTGCTTAAGTGTAGCGCGAGAGGGGGAACTTTTCATAAAATAATAGGAAATCAATGTTCCCTTCCTATGTCATTTATAGTTTTTACTATACTGGGTAACTAATGGGCTGCATGACTCTCCTACCCTCCCACTGCAGCTGGCTTGGTGATGGAAGGTTATATCGTTTTAAAAAAAGAAAAGTAAATTTGTGTGGTTTTCTCATTCATGTACAAACATATTTCTGAGAACTGAGGTCAGAAAGTAGGAAGTCTGGGAGGAACATCCAACACCAGCCCAGAATTGCACAGCAAGTAAAGCTGCAGGAACTGAAGTTACTCTCTGCAAATGTTTGCATTTTCAGAGGGCTGCATCCAAAAGTACTGGGCTCCTACACCTTCTAGTGAGAGGCTGTTCATTGTTTCCCAGGATCAAGCTCTCAGTGGAGATCTATCTACGGTGCAGATGTGGGGATTGAAGTGTTGGCTTCTTCCGGCATACCCCCAAGGGCAGGTTTCATGAGAGGTGAAAATTCTGCTTGGCAGTGGAAAGTAACTGAAGCCCTTCATCCACTGAGGGGCTTAGATCCAGCCAGGAAAATAGTAATAAGTAGGGAGAGAGGCCATGACATAACACATTATATTGTGGCTTTAATTGGAATCCTGGCAGTAGCTTAAAATTTCTCTTCAGCAAAATGTCTGCCGAGGGGTGATGGTGGCACAAACACTCCCTGTCCCTCCCTACCCCTGCCTGAGTCATAACAGTCTCTGCTGGGCCTGGCAGGGACAATTTGTGCCTATTGGCTGTAATGGGGATTTCCTCAAACCCAGTGTTCCTAAATTACTGCTACTGAATGTATTCTCAAATAATGTGCTATGACTATATTCTCTTTTTAACAACAAGCGAGCCAGTTTCCTGGCCTGTGGTGCATGCTGTCTCCGCTCAGTGTAACATAGAAAGGGATTGCAAAAAACAAAGTGCATTGTGGGAGTGGAGATGGAAAGTTGTAAGTGCGTGTGCGTGCACGCACGCACACCTACATACATGCACATACTTCCTGCTAGGTCTCATTCTTTCTAATTCCTCTTTGAATCACTTTTAGCCCCCAACAGTATATTAAAATTTGGGGCCAGCATCATGAATGAAGGCCAGGAGGGAGTTGGGTTGGAACGGGATGCTGAGCAATACAACACTACAAATAATATAAAATAATAATGATAATATAAACAGAAGGCTAACCAAAAGCAGTGGTCTTTGAAGAAGGGGGATTTGAAGTAGGAGAGAGAGGCTATTCTTAATCTTAATCCTTGTTGGAATAAAAATAATTTAAAAAATGTGAGAGGATTAAAAGGAATGTACAAAAAATGAATAATTTCCACATCAGTTTTGGATGGATGCTTGTAAGCAGGGGAGCGGTGATGTGTTTAGTGGATATATTTAGGGGGTACTTCAGCCAAGGAGAGATTGCTGTTTTACAAGAGTTTGGCCCTGTAAACCCTCATGCATGGATGTAACCCTGTTATGCAATTAGGAGCAGTAAGTGTTCCTAAAGGAAAACCTTTGGTTCCGCACCAGAATCCTTCTGCATAGTAACTTGCAGAATCCGGCTCTAAAAGAGGAATAACTGAATCAGCAAAATATTGTGTGTGTTTAAATGGGACCTGTGCCAATGAGTTGAATGGGGTTGTTTCCCCAGAATATGTCCTTGAATCAATTCCCAGTTTTTAGCCTACTGCAGTATGCCTAACATATTGTTATGCAACCGAAGTTCACAAATCCTTATGACTGTGAAAGGCTGCCTTATACATTAGTCTTACTATACCTGACTTAGTATACATTGGACTAAACAATCTACATAAGAACGGCCATGCTGTATCAGACCACTTGTCCGTCTAGCCCAGTATCCTGTCTTCCAACAATGACCAATGCCAGGTGCCCCAGAGACAATGAAAAGAACAGGTAATCCTCACATGATCCATCCCTTGTCCCAACTTCTGGCAAACAGAGGCTAGGGTCACCAGTCCTCCACATCTTGACTTATCAGCTTTTCCATGATATCATCTTATTCTTTTTTGAATCCTGTTAGTCTTGGCCTTCACAACATCCTCTGGCAAGTAGTTCCACCAGTTTACTGTAGGTTGTGTGGAGAAAAAAACTTCCTTTTGTCTTAAACCTGCTGCCTATTAATTTAATTTGGTGACCTCTAGTTATGAGAGGCAGTACATTAACTCTTCCTTATTTACTTTCTTCACACCATTCATGATTTTTATAGACCTTAATCATATCCCCATTAGTCATCTCTTTTCCAAACTGAAATGTCCCAGTATTATTAATCTCTCCTCATATGGCAGCGGTTCCATGCCCCAAATAATTTTTATGCCCTTTTCTGAACCTTTTCTAATTCTAATACATCATTTTGGGGATAGCACAACCACATCTGAGTACAGTATTAAAAAGGTGGGTGTACCATGAATATACAGTCATGCAGAATCCTTTATAGGAATGTCAGAGAAATAAATGTACGAAGATATATTATGGAGAGAATACACTGAAAAATTTACGCTGCTTCCCTGAATTACCAAAGCAAAGTGACAGGAGAGGTTGAGGTGGCAGCTCTGAATGAAATGGAATTTGCTTAAACTGGGCACATTTTATGAAAATACTTTATCATCACATTTTAAAATCATGGTGCTATTTTTACAAGGTTTAGTTTCCATACTGAGATATGTAGTGGAAAACTAACTGTTCTTATCGGTCTTTCTCACTTGCTTACATAGTGTCTTGCATTCTGCTATGCATCAGTGGATGTGGTGTTTTGTCTCTAGGCTGCAGGGTCTGTAATTACTTGATGTACACGTTTATCTTCTGTTTTTGTTTCAGTTTTGCACGCTAGCTTGCTAGCTCTGAACTGGGAGGCATGATCAGAGCACTAGCTACATTCCTTAAAAGTGCCTGTGTTTACACTAGAGATGGTACAAAATAACCTAATTTATCTGAACTCTCCTAGCTGTCCCCCCTACTTCACAAACATGGCAATCTCATTTCAAATGAAATCTGGATTCATGTCTTCCTGGGTTTGGGTTTTGCAAAATCAAAATGACTCTGAGTTTTGCCAGTGTCAAATTCAAATGCTGGTACTTCAGTAGAGGGGCCATACAGCTGCTGCTTCTACACCAATCCAGTCTATGAAGGGGACCATAAAGCCCCTGCTTCTATCCCTAATCTAGGCTCTGAAGGGGTCTGTGACATTTGATGCAGTCCCACCCTGTCAAACTAAAGCCTGAAGAGTTTTTTTTAAACCACCCTGCCCTTAGCAGTTTATAAATTATAGAAGTAATCTCTACATTGAAAGAGTCCATTATTTACAAAGTAAAAATCTAAGAATGGTTATTTCTACAGAATCAGGAGCACACTCGATAGGATTTATGCCCGAATACCTGGTTTAGATAGCCATATCCCCTTGGTGTCTGGTGAGGCCTGGAGCTAAAGATGAATCACTTGTCTACACTGTAGCTGGAAGCAAGTCTCCCAAGCCAGTAAGCCACCAGGTTCAAAACAGTGCACTAGAACTAGCTGGGCAGATGTTGTGGCATGAGCTTGAGTTAGCCACTTGAGCTTAGATCCACCTGGCCCCCTGGCTCTGAGCTTGGAGGACTAACAAAGGCTCCACCAGGGCTGCCTACCTACCAGCTGATTTTCACCCTGGAGTAAGTGGCAGGAAGAGGCAGAAGATGGCAGAGCCCGGATCCCATACCTCTGCTCCCTGTCTCAATTGGCAACATCCCGCAGTCCTAGGCTGGGGGAACCAGGGGAAGAATTGTGATTCAGAGGTGCCTGCTGGAGGTGCCACTTACGCAACATCCCTGGCGTGGTGCTGTGCTTAAAATACAAGCTCCTCTGTGGTTTGTGCATTGAGCGGCACTAAAACTGGAGGCGGAGGGAAAATGGAGGGGTATGACCTCAGTGCAGGTCTGAATGGGAGGGAAAAGTAATGATCAGAAAACAATCTAAGAGTTCTCACTTCAGAACAAGTAGTCACAAAGTCACTTTGCCTTTCCTTCCTCTTCTGTGTTCTTTCCTTCATCCTTCTGCATCACTCCTTCCGTTTCAGCATCCCCGGAGTCTCATTGGCATGAGCCAGGATGAAACTTTTTTTTCCCAAATTATTTAAAATGTTATAAAATTGTATTCCGACTTGTGAAGCCCTGACTCCATTAAAATACCCCATTCCAGGCTGAGGGAGAAATTCAGTATTTAGCAACATGAATGTATTATCTGAAAGATGCTGGATTGACGGACCTAGGGCATGTCTACACCCCTTATTTCGAAATAATAAGACAAGTGTCCGCACTACCATGCCCGTTGTTTCGAAATAAAGGGTTTGTTATTTCAAAATAGTCACAATCAGGAGTTAAGTGGAATAGCACTATTTTGAAATTGTTATTTCAGGAGTTATTTCAAAATAACTCCCTAGTGTAGACATGCCCCTAGAGACTAAGGACCTGGTCCAACGCCTGTTTCAGTCAGTGTTGTTGACTTCAGTGAGCATTGGATCAAGCCCTAAAGTCTTAGGTGTATCCACTGAACAAATACAGCATGATCAGGAACAATGCAAACTTCACTGCCCTGTCCATTCAGTGTCTCCCCTTCCCCCCATGCCAGCCTGAAGGGACGATGACTATGAAAGAAAGGATGTCAGTTTTCAAAGCCAAAAAATTCTTGTTTTCTGCTGGGAAAACCAATAAGGGCACCTAATGGAAGCTGGACACCTCCTCAAAGAACTGGACCAAGACTGTCAACTCAATTCACACAGGCCACGACCCAGTTCTTTAATAGTAACGACTTTCCGTAATTATCAGTCTAGACTGATTTGACCTGGGCACCTTTAAGAAAAATACTCCCTCTGCCATGATCAATCCCTGAGAGAGCTGTTCAGCTTCCGAAAATGTCAATAATTTAGATTTGCAGGTTCTTATCTCATGCTAAACATAGTGCTGGAGCATCTGTCCCTCTTTGCCAGCTTGATCCCTTACCCTAAGGAAGGGCCGGAACGTAGCTGGGCCATCCTCTGAGAAGTCCTGGCAAAGAACTGTGACTTAGTGTCATGTTCCTTCCCCTGCTCTCTTCTTGCACCTGTGGGGCGCGGAATTTTCTGCATCTCTTATAAAGCTAACTTACTTCCCCCTTGTGCTAGCTGACTGGCGTGTGAACGCTGCCCATTCCACACCTGCTTGCTGGCTGGAGAAAATAGCAGCCCTAAGCATCGCTTACCCCATCCACCCAGACTTACTATACATGCCACACAGTGGGAGGCATTATGCATGGTTTTCCCTCTGTTTACATAGGTGAGTTGGCACCCCACTCCCTCCCCAATCTCACCTGTTTTGGTAGCTACACTCCTTGAAATGTGTCATTGTTTCATATAACTTTTGGCAGCGTAGAAAGTTGGTGCATAATAGTTTTGGTCCAGATGTTTGAAATGATCTACACAAGTGTGGAATTATTAAGATTTGCCGATTAGGATGAAAGCCAATTAAACCTGACCAAAGCAAAAAGTAGGAAGTGGTTTTATAAAATAGGCACAGCAAACACCCGAAATGTGCAATGTCTTGTTTATAGGTAAGGTCAGGATGTCCTGAATTGTGGGATGCGCATCTCAGAGTGCTACCAGAGAGCAATTTGTTTTTAAAAATTTAAAAAGTAAACACTTTATACCACACACTACTGTTCTTGCATAGCGTGCTCACACGTGCTTTCTCATGTCAGGGGGCTGAATGAAAATGCACATATAAATGTACCATGGGCTCGCAGTAACTTTTTTCCTCTAAGAAATTTTAAAATGCTTACCAGTTTGGGGTGGCACGTTTATTTCTGCCGAGGCACTTGTCGTTTTCATGGTATTTCCCATTGCTCTCTTTATTCTCATCAATGCACTTCAGAACTAAGACAAAGGAGATATTAAAAAGGACTCAGGATAGCACCTGCTATGCCAATGCATAAAAATGACCCAATTTAATACTCTCAGGTTTTTATATAGCTGGCTTTTGAAAGCTGCTGTTTTACATGCATTTGAGTATCTTAGTTGCTGAACTCTCACCACTCTGCTGCTTTTATCAGGGGAATAGCAGAAAACCGCAACTAGGGAAGTTGCTAAAAAGTACTGTACATAGCAAAAGTTTCCATTACCACTACCTTAGCACAATAGGAAGTCACAGCAAAACTGTGAATATATATTCATGTGTTTTCTTGGGTGTATGCACTTCTCAGCATTTGGAGTTCTGAAGTGATGAGGAAATGGATTAGATTGATGTATCTCTTGTCAATCCTGGCTTTGAAGTTTTATTGCTAAGTATAGGCAGAGTTGTTTTGCAGCTTCCTTTTGTTGCAATTCTGGTCTTGCTGTATATATAATTAAAAAGGGGGGGGGGACTTAATTTTTTTCTAATCCAGGAAGATCCCATGGTAGCATAGGAATTAGCAAACTAGATGAGATCAGGATCCATCTGGACTTTGACAGGAGACCATACAAAATACTTCAGAGGAAGATACATGAAACACTTCAGTGGGCAACTATGGAAATTGTTGTCCATAGGAAAAGTTCCTTTTAAACCCTATATAGCAAGCTAGTTGATGCCCTGGAATAGGAGCCTATCTTGAATTGAATAGAATAAAACCACCATTAGAGCCTAGTTCCACAGTCAGAATACCTAAGCAATGCCTTGTTTCAAATAGCAACAAAACAAAATGTCCTGACGCCATCACCTAAAATCAGATGATTTTTATCTCTTTCCGGCTGTTAGTCTGAGAAACTGACAGCATTGGCCCTAACTAAATCCTATAGCACAGCACTTACTGTATTTACTGAAGAGTCGGTGAACAGTGCAGAAAAAGCTGATTTCGTCTATTTTATCTACCTTATTTATTTCAAAGACTCCTTAGGGCCACAAGCTGCTGCCCATATTCATGATTGGCTCGATTTAGATCATCTCTCGGTTTGACCAGAAATTCCATTTTCTCTCTCTTTATTTTATATCCTGGTCCCGAGAGTCCTCCTCAGTAAATATTTCATTGAAATTTGATACATTTCCTCTAAATGTCACAGTTTTGACAAATCAGCATTTTCCAGCCAAAAACTGCTGAAAAATTCCCAGTAAGACCTCCTCCTAAATCATGTAGGACGTTATGATATTTTTCCCCTAAATCTTTAAATATATGAAACTTTTTGGTCTTGTGACTCCCATTCATTTAGTGGGAGATGCACTGGTTAACCCTGTGTATTAAAATATGCAGAAGGTTCTTGAATGATCCAGTTTACACATTTTGGGGTGAAAATATTTCACTTGAGCAGTATGTAAGACTTTTGTGCATAGCTATAAATATACCTTCTTGAACGTAATGTGCATGTTAGCAGAGCATATAGAAACCAAGAGCATATGGGCCGATTCTGTATCTTTATTAGATTTGTTGAAATAATAAATGACGGGAAGAGACTTTGCAGGGTCCCCTCGTCCAGTCTCCTGAGGCAAGACTAAGTATTATGTAGAGCAGGGTTGTGGAACCTAAGGCCCAGGAACCAGATGCGGTCCCTGGCTTGGCCTGGATCTGGCCCCCATGGCTCAGGGCTCCTCCCCACCCCCAGCACTGGGGAGCCTGCATTGGCACTCCAGTCTCCACTGCCCCCCTCCTGACCGATTTTTCTGGGGTCAGTGGCCCCTGACACAAAAATTGTTTCCTGTCCCTGATGTAGCCTATCCCCGTCAGGTGTTTATCTAACCTGTTCTTTAAAACTTCCAAAGTTGGAGATTTCACAGCCTCCCTAGTTAATTTGTTCCAGTGCTTAACTACCCTTACAGTCAGATTCTCCCCCCCCCCCCCTGAAGAAACTAAATCTCCCTCGCTTCAGTTTAAGCCCATTGCTTCAGATCCTCTCCGCAGTGGGTCATTTATCGCCATGCTCTTCAGAACAACCTCTTACATAGTTGAAGACTATTATTATATCCTCCCTCCGTCTTCTCTTCTCCAGATTGAACAAACTCAGTTTTCTCAATCTTTCTTCCTAGGTCATGTTTTCAAAACCTATAATCATTTTTACTGCTCTCCCCTGGACTCTAGCCAGTGTCCCCATCTTTCCTGAGATGTGATGCTCAGAACTGGACACACTACTCCATATGAGGCCTTATCAGTGCTGAATTGAGTAGAAGAATTACATCTCACATCTTGCTTACAACAGTCCCACTAATGCAGAATGAGGTTCACTTTTTTTTTCAGCAATAGTCCATTGTTGATGCTCATTTAGTTTGTGACAGGGTGGCCAGACTGTGGCTTTTACTGCTAAAATGTGACTTGGAAAGCCCTCACAATCTCCCATTGTCCACCTACAGCACAGAGTGGTGGGGAATGTAGGACCTCTGTCTTGCAGTAGAGTGATGGGGTAGGGGTTTCTGTCCAGCAAGGAGGGGAGCCTCAGGATTTCAGCCCCATGGGTAGCTGAAGCCCAAGAAGATGCATCCGAGCTCTCAAATTTCTGAAAATTGTTGTATGTGGTTTAGAGGATTAGTAAGTTTGGTCCCCCGTACACTATAGCCTCCAGATCCTTTTTGGCAGTACTTCCTTCAAGGCAGTCATTTCTTATTTTGTATTTGTGCAATTGATTATTCCTGCCTTAACATAGTACTTTCCATATGTCCAAGTTATCACCTTATTCCATGGGTAGCCCTTCTGACATCAGTGGGGCTACTCACATAGTCAGGTAACTGTTCAGTGAGGGTAAAGGTGGTAGAATGTAGCCTTTATGCTCAGAACTTTTTAGTTTTCTAAAGTTTTGTACATTTGTGTAATTATAACTATTTTTAGGTCACCGCGGCTACTTTTAAAAGTATATCTTAGTGACATTTTCCATGTTAAGTTTCATTGCCACCAATGACAGTTATTTAAAATAAATAACTTGAAAAGGGAATG